CTCTCTCTGCCCCCTTTCCTGTCTATCTTCAGCTGTCACTATAATAAAGGCAATGAAAGCCCCCAAAAAATATTTAAAAAATTTAAGTATGTTAGATGTGTTGAAAGAAAAACAGTCACACTTGGCTCGATCTAAAAAAAACGTGTGAGTGGGTTTAAGGTGTGAAACAAACACGTTGTCATTGTACATTCTATATTAAATTCTAGTTTATGTGTAGAAAATTCCTTATGCAAGAACACACATTATTCATATGTCTGACCCCTGTTGTTCCATAAAGCAGTTTGAATTTGTTTTCTTTGTGTTTGGAGACGTCACAGTATATTCATGACATATCGCAAGGAGGCAGCTTATGTTTAAAGTCACTGCATTCTTTCTCTCCAGGAGTGTAAAACTGTTTGTATGTAAAACGGCGAAAGGAAACACATTTCATGTTTAGCTCTTGGTTCTAGACAGAAGCAGGAACTTGAGTTTTTGTTGCAATGGTAGAACAGAAGTGAATAGTTGTAACTTTCATGTAAGATGCACTTCTCTTCCTCTAGGTGCTGGTAATAACCATATTCTTTAATAGGGTTGTTTGTCCAGTCTAGCCTTTTCGAGATGTTTATTTATTTATTTTTGTCATGACAACCACTGTAGTAGTATCTCAAACCTGTTACAAATCTACAAGAGTGTGTTGCTTCAAAGCCAAAACTCTAAGTATCACTTGGAATTCAGAATGGATCTACTTTTTCTTACACAAGCAATCACATCATTGCCAAAGTTGTCAGTTTGGTTACAATGTTTAAATAGTGTTAGACTTGGATAAAAAGTATGCTCAAACTCTACAAATGCAGTGCAAGGAAGTGGATAGCATTTTCGTGTTTTCTTGTAGTTATTCTTACCTTTTTCACCAAGTATCCCTCTCTGATCTGTTGTGGCTCCATTACCCTGCTCTTTGCTGCTGTGAGCTGCAACTTTTGATAATTAGAGACTGTTAAAACATTTCTCACACTCTCCGCCCTCTCTCTCTCTCTATTTCTATATCTGTCGAAACCACAACCATACACACAAGCAGGAAGTTGAGCTGTTGGGTGTGTTACATCAATGACTGGTCAAACAGCTTCCTCTTTATTACAGCTACTGCTCAGCTAATGTTTCTAAACCACTGACAGTATGCAAACTTTATAGTGTACAGTTACTGTAAAAAGCATCTTAAATATGTCTATAGATTTAAACGGAGGAGGTTGAACTGGAAAAGAAACAGTAATGCCTCAACTTTAACCACATTTGAATCTAAATTAAATTAATCTTTTTGCTGTGCCTATGGTTGAGCAATTTCCTTTACTGGACTATTCTTCCCACTATTGCATTTAGGACCTTGTATAATTTGATTCTACTTCATCTTTTTTCTTTATTGTCTTTTATATGTTGCTTTGGTGCATTTTATGTCGTAAGTAAGGCACATTCAATAGCTTCTGTGAAAGCTGATGTATTAATAAACCAGTCAATAAAGCCTATACTCTAATACGTATGAGTATGAGTACATGTGGGCTATGTTTGGGTACATCACAACAGCTGAGTCAGACTTCGGTTGACCTATTTCTATCAAAGGTTCCTCTTTTCCTAATTTGTCTTGTCAATGTGGCTAAAGTGTGTTGTAGTTGCAGTGAAGTTTACAAAGCTAAACGACAGGGATAACGACTTGACAAATTGCGTATAACAGGAATTTGTTAAACCTCAAAACGTAAAGGAAAAACTTCATCTGAGAGCAGCAGTCAGCAGAGCAATGGAACTATAATACTATGCTATGCTGAATTGTTTCACCCACGCTATAGCAGAACATGTGTCAGAATGCAATTACACAAAGTAAGAATGTAGTAATTTCACAACATCTGAGGTGTCAGCTCTCATCAATTTGGTCACCTGACGGTTTGCATCAGTGGAAAACATTAGATCAGATAATGAATTTGCTGACAGAGATGAAGAACTGGGTGCTATATGTGACAGAATAAAAAGGTGTTTTAGAAAATTGTAACTGAACCTACCTAGTATGGATTTGTCTTATACTTTTTATTTTATTTATCTGAATAATCATTATTCACATATGAAGCAATTTACAGGTTGTGGACACAATAAAATAAACATCTGTATTCTGTAATTGGAGGTGCATTGTACATTTTCTCAAGTTTTCTTTTTTTAGTTTTCTAGTTTTAGAGTATTTTTACTTTTGATATTTTAAGTACATTTTGCTGATAATACATACATACTTTTAAGTAAAGTATCTGAATACTTCTTCCATCACTGACTGTAATGCTCTCCAATACAATATCTAAGCGGTGTGATACAATTGTAAAGAAAATGATGTTTACTTTCTGTTCCATTTGCATCAGAGGCCTTGGTTTATTTTTGATGTGATGTTGTCAGTGTTCCTCTAGAGGGTCTCATAAACACATAGAAGCTGAATGGCATCTGAGATGCACTGTCCTGCAGTCAAGGGCTACAATAACCCTAAAAAGAGGATTAGAAAGAAAACAAATGGTGATAGATAGGAACGATTGGTCAAGGAAGATAAAAGTGATGATAAAAATAGGTGAATACCTCATAAGAGTTAACAAAAGAAATTATATTTATGTGTATATCTGCTGGTGAAACTGCCATGGAGGGGTTTCATTTGATTGGGATCATTTAGGTGACTGGAGTTATTTATAAGCTATCTTATGTGTTCAGTCAATCCTCCTAATGGAAACCAAGTTTAAGCTAACTGCCTTGTTTTAATCACAGTTTTTGATGATAAGACCGTAGTAAAAGTCACCTTCTGATGATGATCTCATTCCTATAAACGACAACGGGGACGTTCTCTGTGACCGTGGCATTTATCAAAGGGGACACTGGACATACTGTTTGTCTGTCAGACTTGAATCATGCCTTCCTCGTGCCCATGCTATGAATAAACATCAAGGGGGTTGGCATTTATGAGTTTATTGATGAATCTTGGGCCCGTGTGTTTCATTAACTGTCAGCATAAGAGTCATATCTCTGTGGTGGTGATTAAAAAAGGGGCTCGAGGTATGGAATGTTAATTTCACTGAGAAAACAAAGACAGAAGCAAAGAGGACACTACGGAGCCTTTGTAATCTCTTGTTCTAATCAAGGACAGCCTCAGAGAGAAAAAAAAAACTAACCCTGGTTTTTCTTTGTATGAGACACATGAAGTGGCAATTACTAAAGCACAGAGAAAGGGAATCACAATAAAAACATTTGGTTTATTTTATTGAAATCATGTCTCCGCTCTTCATTCCTTTGCTGTCTTTTTATCTAGTGCACAAAGCATGTACAAGGTACTGTACATACTGGGAATAGGGAGAAGAAACAGAACTGTTATCACAAAGCCTTGAAAAGAAGTTGAGTAAGGTACTGTAAGCATGATGAAATTGAAGAAACAGGACATCTTTATAACAAAAGTAAACATTCGCTAGCTTTCAAACTCACAGAATTTTTTCACTCACTCCTGAAATAACCTGCGAACATCCGTTGTCAAACACCTACCAGGATTGATTATGTGCATAATATACTTTGACTATAAGGTACTGTCATTTCCTATATAATGCATAAAATGCTCTGTCCAGCTTCCTGGTGAGTAGAATCTGTACCATGTGCATTAAATATCCTGTGGCAAAAACTCACCCAGACAGCTTGTTACATTTCCCCCCATATTTCTCTCTCTTTTTTGTGAAAATATAACGCTTTGAACCTGAAAGTGAAACTTCTCTTTACATCCTGACTGAAAACCACCAAAGTCAGAGTTTGCTCTGACTTTGAAAAACATCACACTTTACTTCAACTGACAATTATGCAAATTCATAGTCTTGTGTTTTTCATTGAAATAGTCTGAATATTCCTGTTCCTGACTAATTGATTTGTTTCTGTTTTCTCAGTCCTTAAATGTGGTATTACCAACACACAGGGGTGGACAGTAAGAGCACTTACCATACTTAAAGCTGCTGTTATCAATGTTTCTGTAGCAACAATGAGTCACATAACTACTTGGATGTTTAAGGGGTTGCTCTTTGTGTCAACCCACCGAGAATTATCATCTGATTGTTTTTAGCATTTTAGTGCACTTTTTTGGTTCACTCTCATCAGTTTCATTTTCAGCCACGGCAGCATTACACCTATGCAGCTGTGTACCATTTTTTTTAAACACAATATTCACAGTTCATGTAATCTGGTTGAAATTCATATACATTTTTTAAGTGCTTAAAGATTTAATCATCAGAAAAGTGCACGTCATGCAAGAGAGTCAATAACATCAAATGTATATAGTGTGTTGATTGACACACAATGTCAACTCATGCACTGCGTAACATGCAGGAAAACATTCCACCTTCAAAGTTGCCGGTAGCTACTGGCAACCATTGAGTGGCACAGTGAATTTAATTATGTTCCAGTGAACAAATGTTAATCAGTAAAGATGAGTAAGTAAGAGTCATTTACTCTTGACAGTTTCTTTACTTGTGATACATTTTCAAAGAAACATTACAGCTTGCCTGTTAAACTTGGCCAGCTAGTGCTTGCTTTGCTACGTTTTCATAGCCTAGATTGTGTGGTCAGCTATAATTGACCAATGTATGTAAACTTGGCACCACAGGAACGGTGGTTACATAACCTTCAAAACGAGCCACAACTTATCTGTGCGTCATAGGTACACTCTGGTCCTTTAACAAATAGCACTACACCTCTGCACAACATGTAAGTGTTTACAGTGAAGAAACGTTGATAAACCAAAGCTACACAGCCTTCCCAGCAACATATAGCAGGACAGAGTTTGTGAAAAAAGGCAACACTGTGACCACCAGAACATTGCATATGTCTTTAACTGAAGTATTTCCATGTCTTCTCTTACTTTATACCTGTAGTCCACAACAACTTTTCCCCTATGATGCTGTGTCAAATTTGAATTTCTCCCAGAGGGGATCAATAAAGGAACATCTTATATTATCTTATTTTATCTCAGAGACAAATATTATAATATAATATACTTTTTACTCTTCTACATGTATTTGACAGTTGTATACTAATAGAGACTTTACATTAAAAAATACATGATTAGATAATAAAGACAATAACATCTGTGTGTTAGACAGAGGATGAATAATTATGAGGAACATAATGTGTTTTTTGAACATTGAAGTATGTAAAACTATTGTAGTAGACCCCCAAATACAAGTAGGAACATGATTATGAGAATAATATGTGCTCTATAATGCTTCTGTACATTTACTTAATCACCGTATTAAATTCATGACTATATTTTCCTTGTAACTCAATATTTTAATTCTGTTACTACTGCATTATACTTAAGTAAAGGAGCTGCTTTTTCCAACACTGCTAATATAAAACAGCAGTATAGGATTCAGCAGTATAGAAAGTTCTATGTTGCTCCACTTTTTCCTACTCTCTTTCCTCATATTGAACACAGCAATAAATACTGCATGTGTTGTTCCTCCCGCTGCCCCACCCTCTGCCATAGCTCTTGTTTTGCTGCCCAGGGATTGAGACATCTTCATCCCAGTCCTCTGTACCTCACAAGCACCATCAATAATTCTGCTAAAGAGTGCACTGAGCTGAAAATGGGAGGGGAGGTTGCGAAGGGGGGCAGGTGATGGCTTTTCTATGGTACACTCAATCTCTCCTCTACCTCCTTCTATTCCTGATGTGCTCCCACACTTCCTAACATGACCTTCTGCAATGTTGTTTATCATTTTATGCTGTATGGACAACAGGCACATGCAGCAGAGATACAGCCCTTAGGCCTGACATAAAGGAGGCACCCTTTTAAGCAGCTCAAGCAGGTTCTCAAGAGGGCTTTTATTTTCATAGTTTATATTGCAGAAGCCATAATTAATCTGTGAATTAGTTGAAAAGTTACCTTAAGCAAAATATTGCAGACATATTACAAAAATGCATGAAGAAATGAATCAGTAGTTGAAAAACATTTAAAATACAGTATATTAAAATCCTGTCAGCCTACAGATATATATATATATAC